GGGGGGGGGGGGGCGTGGACTTGCTGAGGGTCAACACGTGTAGGCATCCCGCAAAGCCGATTTTCATCTCAGCTCGCTTCCTGGGTCCGTGGCTTGGGCACTCACGTATCTTGCATTCACGGCAACACTGCCGAGGTGAAACCTTGCATCCTTCAAAGCGGGCGCGCCGCAGAGTCGGAGCGAACGGATCCATCAGACTCATCCCCCCCCACGAAGCAGCTGACGCCGTGACCGCGACCGTCTCCACCCTTAACCATCACCAAGCTCCAAACCCCCCCTAAAGCCTTAGACCCCATGAACTGAACCTGTAGACCCCATAAGCCCTAAACCATAAACACTAAACCCCTAAAGCCCTAAACCCCTTAAACCCTAAACCCTAAACCCTAAACCCTAAACCCCCCTATTAGAAGCCCTCTTTTGTGGGAAGAACCCTAAACCCTAAACCTGTAAACCCCTCACGTTGGCTGCCTCCGCGGCGCAAGATCTTTCTACAAGGGAGCGAAGCTCCCTGGCTGGCTCTAGGGCCCGTAGGTCGAGTGTTGCAACACTAGGGTTTAGGGTTAGGGTTTAGGGTTTAGGGTTTAGGGTTTAGGGTTTCGGGTTTAGGGTTTAGGGTTTAGGGTTTAGGGTTTAGGGTTTAGGGTTTAGGGTTTAGGGCTTAGGATTTTGTGCTCAGGGCTTGAAGGGTATGGGATGGGGACCTCGCGGGGGTGTAGAATTTAGGGCTTAAAAGCTTCTGATTCCTCACCATCCGCGACTTGCCGCTGCAGACGCTATCCTTGCGCCACAGCGCGATCAGAACATGCACGGCGACTTCAAGAAATAACACCTGAATGGAAAGCAGCACATCCGAAGGCAAACCCTCCGAGCTCGCACCTTCACGCCAGAAAACCAACCCAATGACAATAGACCCCTACAACCCCGAAGCCCTTGAGAGCCCAATGACCCTTGAGCATCCCACTCTCATGCCCTGAAACTTCGGTGCGTCCCGGCTTCGCAGCTCCCTCGATGATGGCCTGCGGAATTGCTGCGCCTCACGCAGAAAGGGTTTGGGGCCTACCAAGCAAGTTTGGGGGTTGAGGGTTTCGGGTTTTAACAGGATTTTGGGGGCGTTTGGAGTGCCTTTCCCCCGTGAGCGGATGACAGCAGAAGTTGCATGTGTAATTACCATCTTCTAATGCCGGCTAATGGCGACCCGGCGCTGCCGGTCCCCTTGGGCATAGAACCGCAAAGCATGTGGCAAACCATTAGCCCTTGAATCCTCGGACACCTAAACCCTGAACCCTCTAAGCCCTCAACCAGAGCCCCAAGCCCCCTAAAGCATGTGGCAAACCCTTGGCCCTTGAACCCTCGGACGCCTCACCCCCAAACCCTCCAAGCCCTCAACCAGAGCCCCAAGCCCTCCAAGCCCTATATTGCCCATACACCCTAAACCCTCAAACCCTAGCGTAGGCATCCCTGAGATTTTGCCTGCTTCCGCAGCTTCCGGAGCACTTCCTCTTGCGACTGGACCTCTTCCATCTGCTTCCGCAAACCTTCGAAAACAAAAAGCAGTGAAAGGGCCGCGGAGTTTCAGAATGCCAGGGCGCCGCTTGGGGGGTGAAGAGGCTTCACTCTAGAACTCCCCCCAAAGCCCCAAATCCTTGAAAACCTAAACTCCAAACCCTTAACCCTTAAACCCTTGAAAACTCCCTTGAAAAAAAACCCTTGACAACCCCTTGAAAACCCCCCTGAAAAACCCTTTGAAAACCCGGAACCCCTGAGCGCTGGATCCTGGACACAGGGGGGCTGCCCGCAGCCGGGCAACGCTTGTCCATCTGCGCGTGCTCCGCCAAGAGCTGCTGCTCCTTTGGCCAGCTGAGTCAGCTGCTGCGGGTTTCGGGTTCTAGGGTTTCGGGTTTCAGGGTTTTATGGTTTCAGGGTTTTAGGGTTTTAGGGCTTTAGGGCTTTAGGGCTTTAGGGTTTAGGGCTTTAGGGCTTAGGGCGTTAGGGTGAAGTGAAAGGATTACTGTGCATCGGAGGTTCAGCTGCGGCACCTGAGTTGAGAGATCATTTACCAGAACGCCCTTTGGTTTTTGCCACCCTGTCCGAGCCACTGCGGCAGCTGAAAGTGGCAGCCTGAAACTGTGCCTGTCCCCGAAGTCGGCACTTTTTGCTTCTGGTCTCTTGGGTTTGCGGAGCCAGAAAAACTTTCGAGGATCATGACTTGATGACAACAGTTGGTATTCGACGTTTTGACTTCGGACTTTGCAGAGTTGTGCGATGTGAGAACAAGATGCGGAATCCTCGGTAGATAGATGGACTTCTTTCTGGAAGGTGCGGCAACCGACGTGCCGTGCTATTGCAGAACTTACCACAGAGGATGTGGCCGTTGCCAACTTACTGTGGGACGTCGCGACGCCCTGAACCAGCATTTTCAGCATCCGCAACTGTTTGCATCATCGCTTGATGTATCTTCCAAATCTGTTCCTTTTGCACAAATTCTCTGCAGATTTCCACTGCTGGATTTAGGCACATTTTTTCAGCAAGCCATGATGTTGTGCCACTCTTCGAGTTTCTGCAAACCGATATATCGACTTTGGGGCACTTATGTTTCCTTGAGCGTGTGCTGTTTCACTTATTGACGCAAGTGGGACTTTGCGGAAACCTTTCTCCGAGCTTACCTCGACAGTGATGTTGATGTGGTTCGTACTTTGAAGCGATAACGTGCTTGCTGTGGTGTGGGCCATGGTCAAAGCGACTTTGGTCCAAGGAGGCGTGCGAAAACACAATCACACTTTTCCTCGCTTTCCAGACTTCCAGATGGAGTTTAGGGTTTAGGATGAGGGTTTAGGGTTTAGGGTTTAGGGTTTTAGGGTATGAGAGTACACATGCCAGTTTGCGGCTCAGTACTTGTTTTTCACGTGATGCGAGCGTGGCCGTGGCCGGCTGCACTTTGAGCTGTGCGACTGCGAGCTTCAAGGTTGACTGAGGTTGCACGCCTACTTTAAGGTAGCGTGTGCAGCTGTTGGTATCCTTGTAACTTCGTGTTTTGAGGGAAGAAGGGGGGGGGGAGATTTGATTTGTGCTTAGAGGATATTCCGGCCGCGACTTAAGGTATAGCCTGGAGCCGGAACACGGAGGCATTGCGCAAAAGCACTCAAAACCTAGACCCTAAACCCCATACCCCAAACTTCAAACCCGAAACCCCTGAACCACACGGCCGCCCTCCTGTGGATCCTGGGCCGTCTCGCCAACGCTCCTGCACGGCCGGGGCACGGTGTTTCGGCTATGGTTGAAGTTCGGACGGTGCCCCTACACCACCTGTGGAAGGGTGAGCCGTGAGAAGAAGAAAGCTACACTTCTGCATTTGGGAGGCTGACCTGAGCTATGAGCTCTTCTTGGTACATTGGTTTTAGGCCGAGCGTCCGGAAGCCGAAGCCCGACCTAAGTACCCCTTAGCACGCCACCGTCAGTCCGGCACAATGTTTAGGGCTCAGGGCACGAAAATAGGGGTGCACTTTTGGGGGTCGCTATAACACGGACTCTAACTTGGGGGGGGGGGGGGGGGGGTAGATTAAGGGCATAATTATACCCCCTATAATACGGACTATACTACTTCGGGGGGGTGGGGGGGCGGGTATATTCAAGGGTAACCCCTTATTGGGGGAAAAATACCCATATAGGGCTTAGGGCTAAAAGGTCCTCAGGGGTAACCTTTTGGGGTCCTTATCCTATTATTTTGGGGGGGGGTCCCGGTCCCTTGCTATCGTAACCCTAAACCTTAAACCCTAAAGCCTAAACCCTAAGCCCTAAACCCTAAGCCCTAAACCCTAAACCCCCATTAGGGCTTAGGGCCAAACGGTCCTCTCACCCAGCAGGTGCTGCAACCGCGCACGGAGGCTCCGCCGCAGCGACCGCTGCTCCTGCGGGTTTTAGGGCTTCGACCAAGTTGGTTTAAGGGTTTAGGTCCAAAACACGCGATTGATTGAGAGAAGAAAAAGACGTGCGAACGGCATATGTGCTCACAGAGGCAGCGATCTAGGTCCGCAGAGCTCTGCAAAGCACATGCTCGAGACTAAAGGACGTACGAACACGCGCTCATAGAGACTGCGATCTATAGCTCAAGATCCCTGAGCAACCTTCAAATATGTTACAGAAGCAGTGTCGATGGAATCAATACTGGCCCCCCGCCCTTTCAAGTGAACCGTTCAATACTGAACCCCTCCCCGTTCTCTATATTCTCAACTTATTTGCAACTTGGCGAGGGTTGTCCGACCCTCCGGCTGAAGAAGCATCTAAGTCAAGCAGCTTTAACGCTTGCATTGCTGAGAATCCCCCCACACACGCCTCCAGAGCGCGGAGGATAGCCTCCTGGGACGCAGCTTCAAAGCGGTGGGGCGAAGAGCAATCAGCATTAGGTGCTGTTGTTTAAAACCCCAAGTCTTGCTGATATCCCGTGGGGGTCATCTGAGAACGCGGCGTCGTCCATCTCTTCAACAGCGGTGTTCGCTGTCGGTGATGGCTCAGCCTGCACATCGTGATGTCAGTCCCATGGTGGCAGCACTCGACTCTTTGAGGCGTGCATCACATGCATGGGAGGGCGTTGATCGAAAGTGGGGGGGGGGGTCCCTTCAACTCCTGTAGCTTGAGGAGGGTGCCCAAAAGGGTGCTTCCCCAAATGGGGAACCCCCTTCAAAACGGAACCCCCAAAAAAGCATCCCCTATTTTCGGAAACCCGAATATGAAGGAGTCCCGGGACGTCTGTGAGACAAAAGTCACCTCCCGGCCTTTTCCGAAGTCTCTGGAGCCGACTCCCTTAGAGGTCCAGAGTCGGGAAGGCCAAGTGGGGTTTTGGGGGATTTAGGGTTGAGGATTTGGGGTTTAGGGTTTCAAAGGAGGTTCTGAGGTATTGCGCGCAAACCCCGAGTCAGCTCTTGATGTCGTGTGATCCGCTAAACCCCCGATGAAAACCCCTGACTACAGTGGCTACCCTACTGTACACCTTATTAAAGGGGCAGGGGCTGTACACCTTATTAAAAGGGGCAGGGGAGAGGGGCGGGTGGCTGTCCTTTGTGGTCCTGTAGAGTTTTCAGGGTTTAAGCTCAGGTTTCCGGTGAGATCCCCTACTTGGAACCCACACCCTTCATAAGATTTCATTCTGTCTCGGGGCCCATGAACCCCCTGTTGCCAGTATTGTGGGGCGCACGCAGTTTCGCGTTTAGGGTTGTCGGGCTTAGGGACAAAACTTAATTTTGAAAACTCAACCACCACTCTGGAAGCGAAGATGCTGTTGGACAGCAGGCGCAGGCGGCTCGGTGAGCTCTGCCGGCTCTGCCTGCTGGGGTGCGGGATCCTGCACGCCAAGCCTCTCAAACCTGAACCCTCACAGCACCCGACAACCTCAAGGCCCTCAGGCCAGGGCTTCAGGCGGGAAATATGGGGCAGGGCGACGCGAAACGTCTCCTAAGCTGCGTAAATCTAAGGTCCCGTTCACATGTCAATTGAACCCCTAAACCCCTAAACCCTATAAACCCCTTAACACGTGAGGACTTCATGTGCCCTTTCCGCGACGTATGGGGCCTCCTCCTCGTTCTCCCCGCCGCCCTCGAGCTGGGCCCTGGATGCAGCGTTTCACTTTCCTAGGGTGCCTTGAGCACTTCAGGAGAACTTGAAGTCGGTTCTGGAAACAACCTTCCCTACCGGATTCTGCCAGGACATGCCATGCGATTCAGATATCGCCAGAGGCTGTCCACAGCAAGTCTTCTCCGAGTCGTTCCGAACTCCCGAAACCCTCAAGCCGACTCCAAGGCCCTAAACCCTAAACCCTAAACCCTAAACCCTAAGGCCGCTGTGCCCTGTGCAGCCGCGGCGCAGCTGCCGCTGGAGCTCCTCCTGCCGGCGCAGCTGCTCGTCGAGCTTCTGCCGCAACTGAGGGGCACAAAGGAGTCTCAAGAGCCCTAAACCCTAAACCCTAAACCCTAATTTTGGGTTAAGGGTTTAAAACCCTGAACCCTAAACCCTCAAAGCTCTAAACTCCAACTCTTCAAGTCCTACAACGCCTGAGCGCCGAACCCTAGAAGTTCCGAGCTATAAACTGTAAACTTTCCCTGCACCACAACCCGTAAAACCCCCAAAACTCAGAAGTCCGAACTGCCATCAACCGAGATTGGGGACTGCAGGAGGGAATCGCATGCTTCTTCTTTCCGAGCCGCATCCGTCGCCCCGGGGCCAATCCCAAAGGCACCTAGCGGATGTTCGGCAAAAGGCTAAAGAGGTCCGCCAATTGGTTCGGGTTCTCGGTTTAGGGTCTCGCCGTAGGGCCTGTAGGGTTTAAGGTGCAGGGTCCGAGGCCCCCATCTCCTAGCAAAGAACTCAAGAAGGACCAGCCAACGTATTGCGAGCATCGCAGGTGCCTTTGCCATCCTCCTTCACCCGTTCTGCGCCGATTGGCTGCAGTGGACCACCTCCTTCCAGTTGGTTGAAGCTGTTGGCTTTTCGGGATGTCTGCATTTTTTAGGAGGCTTCCTCAGGCACTCTCATTGTCATTGGCCCACTGAAACTCCTTTCTTTGTTGCACCTCTTGCCCCTGTGTGGCAGCAAATTTGTTGAACGCCATGCCGGATCTACGAGTGCCCTCAGCCCTGGCCCAATGAAGTGGCGCGGTCCTCGGAAGTTCCAGGATGGCACGGGCCGCTTGTCGACGCCCCCTCGCCGCCGCCTTTCCTGGAGCAAGAAGACCCTATATGGCACTCCAAAGAAATTGCGACGTGAAGATGGGACCAGCCCGCAATATCGGATCACCCACTTCAAAGCCCTCGTCCTCACAAAGGAATGTCCATTATCTCCTGCACTGGGCAAGCCTCATGCAAGGCCCAAGCACCTAAAGCCCTGGAAGTGTAAACTGCGTTTATATGTCTCAATGCTGAAACCTGAACCCTACCTCCTACCCTCAGCTTCCCAACCCGAGAACAAGAAAACATAGTTTGTTTGGCCGTGCTGCGGCAGAGCGAGCCCGCTCGACGGACGCGAGCCAGTGTGTGGCATCGAGGCCATGTATCTCATGGATAGGCCGCCTGACGACTCCACGGGTCTTGGCAGAAGGCTTCTTAGGGCCTCGCGGCGGCTTTCGTCATTTCCGTGCGGAGCTCATGAATCGAAAACGGGGCAGGGGGCAGCAAACCTTGACCGGGTCTGCCCTTCTCGACCTCGAGCCCCTTACATAGACGAGATGTGTCTTGTCAAAGGGCAGCTGGGCCCACCAGCGGGGCCTGCCAGTGGAGCCCACCAACAACGAAGCCTTTACCAGCAAGCCTGGGAGCCCTTTTCCAGTCTAAACCCCACACTCAAAAAAAAAAAACACGCGCTCGACACTCCCAGCCCGAAACATCCCCTTAAGCAACGACGAGTTTGAAGCCCAGGAGAAGCTCCCACACCGAGCTGACAACAGGATGCCTGGCCTCATGGAGCGTAGCACCGCCTGCAAGGCCGGCCTTCGGATTTCATGGAATATGGCAGAGGGCATTAGGGCTTTGAGGGGTTCATAGGTAGAGGGTTTTGGGGCTCGTAGGGCTTGCAGGGCTTACAGGGCTGAAAGGGGCTTATAGGGCGGTTAAGGGTTTAGGGTCTAGTACAACTTGGGAGCTGTCAGAGAGATGCTTGTAGGGGTTCTTGTTGAAGTCTGTCAATGAGTGGCCCTGAATCCCTAGCAGGAAAGCAGTTTGTAAAGCATCTCTTTCATTAACGGGTACGGGTATTGGGCTCCAAAACCCAAGATGCCCCCTGAACCCTAAACCCTACTCAGGTCGCACCTAGGCTTGGACGTCTCGCGGCCGAGGATGCCCATGGACACATCGTAGCGCTTGGACATCCTAGGGTTTTGGGGTTTGGGGTTTAGGGTTTCGGGTTGCAGGCTCACGCGCGGCATTTTCTGCACTGAAGCTGGGCACCCATGTGGTCAGCATCCGACCTCAGTCCCTGAAAACAAACCTTAGGCCCCAGCAAGCTCCAAAGGGGCAGCGCTGGCAGCTCAAGGGCTACGGCTTAGGGTCTAGGGCCCCTTCTCGAGGCTCCCAGCCCAGAAATCACAAAACCCACAAGACCACAACGGTCGGAGGCTTGCAACCAAGACCCCTTCTGCAACATTCCCCAATCGTTTATGAGAAGCATCCTACACCCTGGCCCCTGAACCCCAAACCCCCAGACCCTAAACCAGGCCATGCAGCGGCAAATCCCCGGAGCCCCTCAGCTGCGCCGCTTTCAAGGCCGGCCTTGGTACTTTCATGTCAATGTATGTTCGGGGTCTAGGTAGGGTTGAGTTTGGGGTTTAAGGTTTAGGGTTGTAAGGCTGTCGGGCTTTGGGGGCTTAGGGTCTAGGGTTAGGGTTCAAGGTGTTGGATCGAATCCTGCACTAGCAAGCTTTTGCCGGAGAGCCCCATACGGCTTGCCATGGAGTGCGGTACACCTTGTTCAGAAAGTGGAGCACTTGCTTTGCAGCAAGGCTCCACCTCCGAGGGCGAGTGGACCTAACCTACGGGACAAGCGCGAGTCAGACGCTTGCTTCTGCGGTTTTCTATGAGACATTGGCTTGCACTGCTGAGTGAGCAAACCCAAAGATGGGCAGGCTCCCCGCTGGTTGCCTGGCTCTGCTTGGGGGCAAGGCTGGGCCAGCTTCTCTTTCGAGCCTGGAAGTCACACAGCCGTGGCCTCCAGCATCCCAACCATCCCGGCCCACCTTGTCATTGCCATTGCCATGGGCATCTTCGGCACTTTGGGGCACAGTGACAGAAGCAGATGCTTTGACAGATTGGCATGGTGGCGCTCATCTTTTGCGTGCTCTTCCGCCTACAGAGCGGCATTCTGCCGCGCTTCCAAGGCAATTCCCTCGTGCAGACTGTCGAGACGCAGCACCTTAGCACAACCCTTGCTGGCTCGCGGTGAATGGATTGAGAGATCCGCTCCTTCCGCGCCATGCCTGATGGCTGTAGCGTGCGTGGACGTTTGGTCGTTGTGCTGGGGAGACGGCTTTGCAGTTACAGCGGCGTCGGTTGAATTGTCCACCTGGTGGAGAGTGGGATGTCATTCGGCTTCCCAAATCGCATTTGCTTGATGCGAGAGCACCTCAAGGAGTTTTGTCTCAAGCAGTCCATACTGTTGCTGCCGATATCTGGTCTGCTCTTCGGCTGCAGTTTGCAGCAGCTACGTGTCTATGTAATTAGGATGCGTACTCCTCTAACAGTCTGCACATGGGAAATGGGTTATGGTTTAGGGTTTAGAGTGGGTTTTAGGGCATTTAGGGGGTGGAGGTTCGGGGGTTCTGCTGCTGTATCTGTTGGGTGGCCCCATTGTACACTACTACGGTAAAGGGGCCCTGAAACCCCACATCCTGAACCCTAAACCAGTTCAGAGACAAACCGACCAGGTAGGTGTTAAAAAATAAGGGACCCCTAATATAGACCCCAAGTAGTAGGATCCCTTTCTAAAACGGGCCCCTGATATCGTAAACCCCATACTGCAGAAGGGTTTAGGGTGTAGGGCTAACCCGAAACCCTAAACCCTAAACCCTAAACCCTAAACCCTAAACCCTAAACCCTAAACCCTAAACCCTAAACCCTAAACCCTAGCTCCATTCGAGGGGCATGGACTGCGACTTCGACGGCGCGGTCGGCGTTGACCGCAACGCAGGGGGCGGCCGAGGGGCCTGCAAACTGCCGAAGCAAAAACGCTTCTGATGGACTTCGGGTTTCGGGTTCAGGGTTTAGGGTTGAGGGTTGAGGGCCGAGGGCTGAGGGTTTAGGGCTTGAGGGTTTAGATTGGGGCAAAAGACAGCGTGACTGTTCTTAGTTCTATTGCGATAACCCCTTCTTGGCGGGAACTTCTTGATGATGTGTCGATCTGACTTTAACTCACAAGCTCCGAACACTGAATCTTGGGGCGTTGCCCGATACCAAAATGCGAACCCATGAAGGCCAGTTCAAGGTCTCACCGAAAAGGCTCAAGACGATCTTCACGCGTTGCCCATGACTATCAGAGATGCCGAAACCCCTAATCCCTAAACCCTAAACCCCAAACCCCAAACCCCAACCCCTAACCCCTAACCCCTAAATCCTAAACCCTAAACCCTAAACCCTAAACCCTAAACTCTAAACCCTAAACCCTAAACCCTAAACCCTAAACCCTAAACCCTGGCCAGCCTCGGCATGATCTGCCAAGCGCATCATGGCGCGAGCTGGGCACACATGTGCGGTCACTTCTCTACAATATGGTCCGTTTTTCGGGGATCCTTATTCTAGGGGTGGCCCATCTTATTTAGGGTACCCGAAAAGGGACCATAACTTAGAGGACTCACCGTGTGGCTTTGGGTCTATGGTTTAGGTTCGCCGCATGCTTGCTGCAATCCATATGGCACGCCCCTGGATCTCCTCAAGTTCCTGTAAAGTGTTCCATCACGCGGGGATCGTGAACACCTGAGCCAGTTAGCTCGAAGTCGAATTGCACTCTGCGGCCGAGAGAGGAGCACAGCAACGTTATGCGAGTACTGGGAGTTTCGATCGGGAGGGCTCATCATGAACAAAAACTGCATGTGATGCCCAAGGAGATTGGAAGCCAGACGACAGATGTGAGTGGTGGGGTAGGATTCAGAAAGATTGGACCACCACGTAGCCACAACACGGACCAGGCTTGGCCTTTTTTCCAGATCGCACGCTTGACGTGAGAGAACTTGTGTGCAAGAGGAGATTACGGAAATGCGTCTGGAAGTCATCCAGAAGCGACTGTCGTGGCAAGAGCTGAAATCCATCCGCGCTGCGTTGCTCCTTCTTCAGTGCACTGAGTGACCTAGGGACCTACTGATTGCAGAGGCTGGCAGGACACCGCAAGTCAGCACTGGTACCTACAAAGCGGCTCGCGTCAACAGAAGAAAGATTGGTCTCCCTAGCTTCTCTGCCCCGTCTTACCCTCCTTCCGGGCAACCCCTCACGGAGACACGGGCGGGCTCTCATTCCGCTCCTTCTTCATGAGGTGTGCTCCAGGCATGCTGATAGCGGTGTCCAACTGTACTCTGTGGTCCAACCCCCCGCCTTCCGGGTTGGTGCTGCCATGGAATGCCATGCCTCTGGCATGGCTGAACCAGCGGAGAGAGTGAGGAAGCCATGAGCTGCTTGCGTCTACCAAAGAGGGCCCCAAGACTCAGTGCATGGAGCTGTCTGGTACTGTCAACATGATGCACTGCGCACTGTCATGCGTAATGTGGCGAGCTATGGAGTGCCCGTGCAGTGGCGAAAGGCCTGCAGCCAAACCCTACGGCCCTAAACCCTGCCGCGAACTGCTTGGGTTTAGTAGGGATTTTGGCATGGTTTTGGGGTTTGGAAGGTGATATGACTGCCGCCCACGCGTCTCCACTGGTCTTGAACACCCCCAGGTTTCGCTTTTGGCGTACGCTGTGGTGCAGGACAAAGCCCAGGGGACTCCAGGCGCGAAATCGAAAGAGGGCTGCCCCTATACTCCAAATCCCGAAATCCCGTGAATGAGAATCACCGGTCAGATTCCTTCAAACATGGCGGGCCCCCTGGAGAGCTGCCCCCAGCCGCCATGAAAACTTCATACAACAGGAGCTTATGCCAAAGTGAGTGTAGGACTTTACACCTTCCGAGGCACCAGGCACCCTTGCAATGAAGAGGGTTTTCGGGGCTTTGAATGGGCTTCTTGTCTGTACCCGAAATCCCTGCATCCTCAAACGATATGGGGATTTAGGGGTACCCTATTGGGGTCCTTCTTCCAAAGGGGATCCTACTAGTTGGGGATATTTGGGGTCTATCTTCGGGGTCCTAAGCCCCCATATCGAGGCAGGCTCCCGTCATCTTTTTGCTTTGGCTGAGGGGTCAGAAGCCCACGCGCCCGAGCCGGAAGGCTCTATGGCCCTATGGGCTTCACGCGAGGTTTTACGGGTGGCTTTTGGGGGGCTGGAGAAAGAGGCGCGTCGAGCCGAGGCAGCAGGTCCAAGCATCTCGCTTTTGAAAAGTTCTCCCCGGGCCAGCTTTGAACCCTTCTCAGGCTTGAGACTTGTTCCAAGTGCTTGCGGCTGACTGGGGGAGTAGATTGGGGGCACTGGAAGTGCATTTGGCAAGCTCTCTTTTGCGTGACAGCCGCTATAAAAATAAAGGAGGAACAACCCTTGGGCGCTGGCATGCGCTGGCCAGGGGACACTCAGCCCCCGCAGCCAAAAGCTGCGAAGCCCTCTGTATCTCGAAGGGGGCGACATCTGAGCAGCACCGGTGCTGCTAAGAACCCGCCAGGGGGATGGACCACCAGCCGATGGCATGCAGCAAAAAGTAGATCCTTTTCTTCTCTCCAAAAAGCGTAGGGTTTAAGATGTGGGGAGGGACATCATTCCAGGAGGACAGATACATCCAGATGTGAAATCAACCCTGAATCCTCAGTACCATATGTCCCTTCAAGGTTCAAAATCATGAACCAGGATGTGCAGAATCATAGCCATTCGTTGTATCAATCAGGATGCTCTGAGTCATACCCCGAGCCTGCATCTAGCGGCCGCGAGGCTGTGTAGCATATTGTGGTGCAAATTGAAGCAAAGAATCGCCTGAATCACCGCAGGTTTGAGCTGCGTGAATCGCACGAAAAAGTAGCGTGAAGCGGGCCAAAGAGAGTCGTGTCGTAGCGTGAAGCCGGGTTAGGATGAATAGCAAGCCCATGTCCAAATTCTCGACTTAATGCTGGAGTCACGACCGGTTCATGTATCTACTGGCTTAAATGGACGCTCTAGCCAAGACTACAAAGTTGTTGGACGCGATGTTGGGCTGGGAAAGTGGGACATCTGATAGTTCGCGTAGTTGTTGCAACGAGAATGACACACTATGATACAGTGTGGCATATTGTTCCCTATCGAAACTTCTTCCAGATTGAAGGCGCTACAGTTTCATGCTTCAAGCGGTATCCTGCATGAACGCATCCCGGTGCATCCCCCTGACACCACTGTCGTGGGGTCACTCAGAAGCCGCCACTGAGGCGTTCTTGCGGACCGTGGTGGGAGGTCGAGGCTCGGCAAAAAAAGCAAATCAGAGAACAAGCTCCGGGTTTGGGGTCCTAAGCATACTTCAATAGCCTTCCGGGAGAATCTACAGATGCGCCTCTCGCATCTTGGCTGCTTGCGCGGTCGAGCTCGCTGTGAGAAACGAAAAAAAGGCGTGCCAATGCAGCGTACCGCGGCGCAAGCGCGGCGCGGTCGCAGAGGGCCCCAAGAAGGCCCTCATCCTGAGCGAGCATGGAGTGTCTTTGGCCTGGGGCCTAGGGGTTGGGCCAAGGTTTCGGCAAGAAGAACCGCAGAACTTCCCTAAAACGGGTCTTTCGTCAGGCAGGCTGCGGCTAGGGGCTGTGAGGAGCAAGGGTCCATGTGTAGAGCCACGGTTTAGGGCTTAGGGTTTAGGGTTTAGGGTTTAGGGTTTAGGGTTTGCACCCTCGGCATCCACATGACCGAGCTCGCTGCCATCGGCGGCATCCACTCCTGCCAAACCATCATCCTCTCCTGCAAGGCTTCTTCTTCTTCTTCTTCTTCTTCTTCTTCTTCTTCTTCTTCTTCTTCTTCTTCTTCTTCTTCTTCTTCTTCTTCTTCTTCTTCTTCTTCTTCTTCGTCTTCTTCTTCTTCTTCTTCTTCTTCTTCTTCTTCTTCTTCTTCTTCTTCTTCTTCTTCTTCTTCTTCTTCTTCTTCTTCTTCTTCTTCTTCTTCTTCGCATGCTCTTGCCCTTGCCTTGTACCCTCAACTTTCTTGCTATTGTTATTCTGGGTTCAACTCCTGATCCCAGACACCCCACAGTAAGTACAGTGAGCCCGAATCAAGGCTTCAGCATCCCTGACATCAGCTGGTCCTTCGGATCCTTCGCAGTCGCCGTCTCCTGCAGCACCTGGCCAAGATCGGGACCCCATACAGAGCCCTTCTTTCTGGGGCTGAGGTTCTTAGGTTTAAGGGTCTTTGGGGCTACGTGGGTTTGAGGGCCTCGGGCTGTTAGACTGCTAGATGTTTAGGGTTTGGGGTTAGGGTTGCTACCTTTGGCTTCTTGCTGCAAGGGGTCTTTTTTAAACTACGGGGTGTTTCGTCAAGTTATAGAGTACGCAACTACATTTACGCACCCCCCTTAAATAGTTGCAAGCCCAACTCTCACTACCCATTGAAGTTATAAGGTTTTAAGTAGACCCTAAACCCGGAGCCCTCACTTAATGCGAGCGCAGCAGTGAGCATGCGCGACCAGCCCCCGTTAACTCCAATTGTAACCCCAGCAACGGCCCCATGTTTTGTGTTGTGGCTTGGGAGAACCCGAAGACTCGGAGGGCGCTGGGGCCCAGCAAATACCTGAAATGCCTCAACCCGAACCAGGGCGTCTGTTGGGCAGGTTGGGAGGTAACGTGAACCTTGCAGCACACCAGAAAACGTGTCAGGCGTGTTGTGGTGTGCGCAGGAGCTTGAACCCAGGAGGGGAGGGGCACCTTCCGGACCGCGGCGGATGCGGGGCACTCGGATGCGCTTCGTTGGCGCGGGGAAGGGGACCTGGGCTGATGGGCTTGAGGCGAGGTGGGGGGGGGGAAGGGGGGGATTGGAGGCTCTTGAATTGAGAGAGGTCAGGTCAAGCGGTTTATGTGTTGTGGGCTGAAGCTTTCAGGAACGATTGGGGCGTAGGCCGCGGAAAGTTCAAGCATTCAAGCACACACCTGCTTGTGACTGTGGCATCTTGAAGTCTGAATCAGACGGCGGATGGGCAGTTCGAGGCACCGACGCGTCTCCCCTGAGAGTACCTCGGGACACCACGGGAGTCTTAGCACGGTTTCGGGCAGAGCTCTGAACTTCTGAGCCCCCCCTCCCAAACAAAAAACGAAAAAGAAAAAAAGAAACAAACAACACTCAGCAGCATCCCGGCCATCTTTCAGACGAGCTGCACCGCTGGTTTGTACTCATCCGGGACAGACTCGTGCATGACCGGACCTCAGGCGGGGGCAGGGGACCTTAAAAAGAACCAGCACGTTCCATGCTAGGAGAAAATTCAGGGGTCCCTGTAGGGGCACAAGCTTAGGTGTACAAGTTGCGATCCATGCGGTGAAAGCTTGCGCGATATGACTGCGTAGAAAGCCCACCACCCCAGGAATATACCCGAACTCACAACACAAGCACGCCACGGCCAACGGCTTCGCCGTAAACTTGCAGCAGGGCGGCTACTTCGATAGCGATTCACGTGGGCCATCAAGCCCTGGCAGATGCGAAGCTGTGATTGTTGCAGCCTTCATACTGAAAAACAAGGTGAAAAACAAGGTAGCGGGCGAGAACCGTCGAGCCTGGTGCATATCGCTCCAGGATACTTCACAAATCTTGTCCGTCTCCACGCCCCAATTCGTGAATCCTGGTCGCTGTGTCCAAAACTCAAGCAGCCAGAATGGTCATGCAAGGCACATGCAACAGCTCGACCTGGAAACCTAGACCCCACAACTCGTCCGAAGTTGAGCTGGACTTTGGGCGCTGTTTGGTACCCGACATTGAGGAACGGAAACTATACAATGGTGTCCCAGAACATGCTTTCACACCCGAGAATAGACTGTAACACTGACCCGCATACTCTCATACACTCAATCATTCACGACAACATTCACGATCGCCCACTATAATAGACGATAGCATACTCTACTGGGATGGCCCCTAACACCCCTCTGAAACCGATTCTTCGAATGCTCTCTTGAACCCGGGAAGGGAAAGTATGACCCTATCCAAAGGGCCCACCCTAAACCCTCAACCCTCAACCCTAAACCCTAAACCCTAAACCCTAGACCCTAAACCCTAAACCCTGAACCCTAAAAGCAAAACCATGGGGGGGGGCGGGGGGCAACCCTGCCTTCAAAAGCGTCACGAGCTCGGAGAGCTTGGGCTTCGTCGACAAAGTTTACAAAAGCATAGCCAAACATGGCCTGTCTCCACACAAGGGCTGGGGTTTAGGGTTTAGGGTCTAGGGTCTAGGGTCTAGGGTTTAGGGTTTAGGGTTTGGCGTATCAGGTTTAGTGTTGAAGGTTGAAGTCGCGGGGCTTATAGGGCTTGAGAGTTTAAGGTTTAAGGGTTGGGGCTCAGGTTTCGCAACCACAAAGTCACTGCTCTGCAAGCGTCGCGCTCCACCCTTTTGAGCCTTTGAACATTTCCCGGCCTGGGATCGAAAATTGATTGGAATGTAGACGAAGTTGAAACCTCCAAAGTTGTGATCATACTCTTGACGCACTTTAGACTCTTAACAAAATGTCCTCTCTGACCCTCCGAGGCCGGCACAGGCAAAGAACCCATTTCGGTTCATCAAATCCACAAGCATGTCTCGGCTGTACCTGCTTTTTTGCGTCTCACAATTTCTGAATTTCTGCATGATACACTAATAATACGTAAGATACTATGAATACGAATAATACTAGCAGACGGCCCTATAGGTGCTTCCGAAGGCACCCCTGCGGTAAGTTCCGCAGCATCACAGTGGTCTGGCGCTCCCTCTGCCTCGGGTTCCGGTCCGGAGGGCAAGATGGGCCATCCGTGACCCGCAGCTTCGTCGCTTCAAGCCGGGGTTGGTAGCATGTTTAGGGTTTAGGGTTTAGGGTTTAGGGTTTAGGGTTTAGGGTTCAGGGTTCAGGGTTCAGGGTTTAGGGTTTAGGGTTTAGGGTTTAGGGGCCCCTAAGGTCCCGGCCCTCGCTTTACGGGTGGCTTCTTGTCCTGCACGGGAAGCCCCTCTGACACTCAGCTTGCATGCGAATGCGCGCAACGACTGTGCATCTGACGAAAACCTTCGAGCATATCTTAAACATCTCTACCTAGACCCTGAATAATTGAAACCACGAGATCCACAATCTTCCGACCCCATCCATCCCTTTCTTGCCCCATCTCTCCCGTTCTTGGCCGCGCGGACGTTCAGGGCGTGACCTTGGGCCATCAGAAGCAACGAAGCAGAGATGGAAAGTAGGTCTTAGGAGTTCTGCAGTTGGAGGCTCTACTGTCTTTCGTGGGTCTCCCACAGCACTCAGAGAGGTTTGAACGCCACCTGTGGCGAAATGCCGAACTCCCAGCGCGTTTAGTTAATGCTGCAAAACTGCAGGTTCTTGCGTACCTCCTTGTAGAACCAAAGCTTCATAGGAACCCCAACCCGTACTCAAGCTTCTAGGCTTCAGGGTTTAGGGTTTAGGGAGAAAGGGGGGAGGCAAAATCCGGCAACAGGGAACGAGACGGAAGCCACAACGCCGAGAAGCCTTGAAGCCGAGAATCCTGACCTCCAAACTCTTGCTAACACCAGGAACCCGAACCCTTTCCCCCCCGTCCGAAACCCCAAACCCCAAACTTCCTCATCTGTTGGGCCCGGGTCCCCGTGCCTGACTGCATTCTGAGCCGGGACCATTCCTTGAAAGGGCTGCAGCATCTGCTGCTGCTGCTGATGCTGCTGCTGTCGGAGCTGCTGCTGCATCCTCGACTGGCAAGGTTCAGAGGGGTGCTTGTCAAAGTTTTGGGTCCCTTTTTGGATCCCTATTCTAATACGGCGCCTAGTATTCAGGGTAGCCCAAAAGGGATTATAATTTTGACAACCAAAAGCGATCATAATTTTGAACTCAGAGGGGATTGAGAGTTCAGCGGGTTTGTGGAGGGGTTTGAACGGAGCCCTAAGACTCTGCGCTGAGCTAGCAGCCCTTGTTTGTTGTGTTTTTTCATTCCTTTTGTGGGGGGGGGGAGGGGGAAACCCTTCAGAGAGAGGTCACGCCGAGTTTACCAGTAACACTACGGTTGCCCCGCATGCACCAAGTGCCCGGCTGGATCTGCTGCTGCTGGAGCTGCATGAGTCTCATCTGCCTCGGCAGGGGTACCCTCATCCCTGAACCTGGAACCCCAAACCCTCATCCCTGAACCCGGTAGACTCGTAGACCCTAAATCTTCTAGACCCTATACATCCCTGAGACGCTACGGGACCAAAATCGGCTAAACCTTTTTGCCCCAAATGCGCTTTGAACTGGTGTTGCCTTTGCTAGCTGACCTTGCACGGCACTGCTATTTCCACCCGTCCTCTCTGCCCCAGGTCACAAAGGATCCGTTTCCCAAAGCGGCAGCGAACTGCAGTGGTGGACTGAAATTGTCGTGACCACGACAATAAGGGGGTTTACGAAATTAGGGGATCCCCCGTTTAGATCCCCAACTAGTAGGAGTCCCTTCTTTTCGGGGTTTTCAAGAAGGCACCCCCTAATTCAGGAAACCCCCCACAACAGTGGAAGCGCTCATCCTCGAGGGCCAAGCTCCAACTGCTGGCGCTGCAGCATGTTCTGGCCGGCTCATAAGGCTGCATGGGGTTGAGAAGGGTTGAGGGTTGAGGGTTCAAAGGGTTAGGGTTGAGGGGGTGTCGGGCTTAGGGCCTGACAAAGGTTTAGGCTTATAGGGTTTAGGGTTTAGGGTTTAGTGTAGGGATTACAGGGACCATTCAGAGACACGTGCATCCGCCGACAGCCGCCAAGCGGAACGGGAAACTCGAAACCCTGCACCCTCTACAGCCTTGCCCGGAAGCAGGTCCGAGCTGAATTTGCATTTAGAGCTCAGGAAAGTTTAGGACTCTTACCGGTCACGGCTCTCCCCCCCGAGCTCCTCGGCCAAGAGGGTTTCCAGCTCCTGCACCCCTGCACCAGCCGCTGCAGCAGCCGCCACTGCGTTTGGCCTCTACGGTTGACCACAAGTGGCACTTCTTCACCGAGACCCGAAATGAAAAAGCCCAATGCTCGAGCTCCTGAAAACATTCTGAAGTTCTATATATTTCCTATTTGTTTCATATCTTTTGCGGGGGGGGGTTCTTAAGCAGGTTGAGTATCCCCTCTTTCCGAGGTCCGGACATGCCAGGGAGCGGGGAGCCCCCCATCCCACAGGGCGAGGAAAGGAAGCCGGCCCTCTCAAACCTGGGGGGAGAAAATGGTTGGGGGGGGGGGTTGGGAGGGGGGGGGTGGGGGGTGGGTGGGGGGGAGTGGGGGGGGGTGGGGGGGGGGGGGGGGGGGGGGGGGGGGGTGGGGGGGGGGGGGGGGGTGGGGGTTGGGGGTTGGGGGGGGGGAGTAGGGGTTTCGGGTGTATAGGGTTTTAGGGTGAAGGGTTTCAGGGTTTTCGGGTTTCAGGGTTTAGGGTTGAGCGCTTGGGGTTTTGGGTGCCTTGGGCGGAGGAACCGGGAAGGGTCCTTCACTCGAGTGCATTTCTCGCATGATACCAAGCAATGGAGTGGGGCCTTGTTTTGGGCTTGGGCGTTCAGGAGCTGCGGACTTGGGATTTCTAGCGATCACCCCTTCTTGCAAGAGCCCGTGAGCCCAAGCCCGAAACCGCCAAGCGGGGGCTTCAGACGTTGGGCCCCAGGGTTCGGGGGAACAATCCGAGGCCCCAGCGGAGATGTTGAGGCGAAGTTCGGAGGTACAAACCTTTGCAGGCTGCTTGGGACGGCTTTTTTGGATCTTACCTGGAAGCAAAAAACACCTTGAGGAACCACCAAGCACCAAAAGCAAAGAATACGACCCATCCCCGCCACAAAAAAGGGGTGGTCAAAAAAAAATGGCGGCGCAGGGACCTAAACAGGTGACAACCAGAGCTTCGGAACCCCTGCCAACAAGAAGGATCCTTTATTCGGGTGGAACGTGATGGCGAAGATCTCGGGTTTAGGGGTGAGGGTTGAGGGGGTGAAGGATGTTGGGGTGTCTTCCATCTCCCAACCGCCCCTTTTCCTGGGGCTCGGGACATGTAGGGCGACGCCCCTGGCCACTGCCCTCGCCTTTTGAAAGGTGGGAGCTGGTGGGAGTTCATCGAACTATCAAGGTTGCGGATGCAGGGCAGCTGATCACAAGCTGGCTTCTGCTTGTCTTCGCAAGCTTGAGCGGATGTTCTTCAGGCCCAGACCCGGATCCAGAGAAATTCCCTTCTGAAGCCCTCATGAAGCCCTCAAGGGCCGAGCTGTGCTTGCTCCAGCGCACGTGGTGGCACTCCGGGGATCTGTGGCCTCAGCGTCATGCTCAAGGGCGGCTCAGGCACCACGAAGCCTGTGGCTCGCCACCGAAGGGAGGACCGTGGGCGTGTAAGTGGAAGAGACACCAAGCATTTAGCTTCAACAGAACAGCATCTCCAAACTCCGCACTCCTTATTGAAGGAGCCGAAATGCACAGCTGCAGCCTTGAAGGCCGACAGGCCCTGAACAGCCCCAATTCGACTACTTCGCGCATGTCGCGCCTCCGTCAATAGGGACTGTTACGGATGGGTTCCCGCGCTCATCGGCGCGGCCGAAGGGCGCAGGCCGTGAGGAGGCGTCGCGGCAGGCTGCAGCTTCCGCCGCCTCCCACATCTTGCTGGGGAGGGGGAGGGGGTAGGGCCTAGGGTTTAGGGTTTGGGGTTTTAGGGTTTAGGGAGGTCAACGACTCGAAGCCCAGCCGAGAATGGCAAGGCTCTTTCCAACCAATGAGCTTCTTGCACCTGCGTCACGAGATTGAGCAAGGTACCTGCACGCACATACAGCACATGTTTACGGTTGTTGGGGGATTTGTGGGTTCTGGGTTTGGGGGTCTGAGGGTTCAAGGAGTGCAACATGTGCAGGGACGCATCTTCCTTAAGCAACACCCAAAGCGCCCAGGCCCCTCGACCCCGATGGGGCGCACGCCGACCCAACACACTCGCCCAGGCAATGACACGGAATTCCACAGAAAGAAAACCCCATAGAATGCAGCCTACAGCCCCCCAACCCCCTCCCAATGCCCTCCATTCGGCGTCATGGGGCAACGAAAGTCAAGCAATCAGAACGATTATCAGCCTAGATCTCAATGTCTTGCCTTCGCCGCCTTTGACGGCTTGGCGTAGAAGAATGTGTTTGACAATCCGTGCACTTCACATGCTACGAAGCAATCGAGAGTCTTCTGGCAGCCTCCCAGTCACTGCTTCGGCACTCAGAGTCATAGCAAGCACAAGATCCCCGGAACCAAACGGGGGGGCTTACGACAACAAGACTTCCAATTTTAACCCCCAAATGGTAAGATTCCCTTATGATATTAGGACCCCAAGAAGGTGCCGGAAACCACCAAAGCAAGCCTTGGGGAGGAGCAAACGCCCCGCCGGACACCGGCAGCTGCATGGGCCGCGAGGAAGGGGGCCCGAACCTCAGGACTTATATGGGCGGTTGTAAAAATGATGGTCCCGTTTTGGATCGCTTTTATAATTCGGCACCTCATATTTAGGGTACCCCAAAAGGGATCATACTTTTGGCAGCCACCCCAAATATGGCTCGCGCGTTTGTGGACCTCCGGCTGGCTGGGACCTGTTTCCTCAGACCCCAAACGCCTACCTCGTGACCTAGTACTGATCCGAACCCTGAACCCAGAACCCTGAACCCTGAACCCTAAACCCTAAACCCTAAACCCTAAACCCTAAACCCTAAACCCTAAACCCTAAACCCTACACAAAGGACTGCAACACACAACTCTGTTAAACTTGCTTTTTGACACACGCCACTATAGCCCCCACCCTTAAACCCCGAGGCCTGAAACCCCAAACCCTCAGCCCTAAACCCTAAACCCCCAAACCCTCAACCCTAAACCCTGAACCCGAAACCCTAAAACCCTGAACCCTACAAACCCTCAGCCAGCCAAGGAGCTGCGGCTGGCTGAGGAGGTTCGGCCCTTGGCCCTGGCACCCGGAATTCTGCCAGGGCTGGGCAGGGAAGCCCGGCCCGGCCTGGCGGGAGTTTAAAGTTTAGGGTTTAGGGTTTAGGGTTTAGGGTTTAGGGTTTAGGGTTTAGGGTTTAGGGTTTAGGTTTTAGGGTTTAGGGTTTAGGGTTTAGGGGAGGGGTTGAGGGGTTTAGGGGGTTAAAGGGTTTAAGGGTTTAGGATGGTTTACGGGTTTAAGGGTTTGAGGGGGTTCGGGTTTAGGGGTTTAGGGGCTTAGGGGCTTTAAAAAAAGGGGGCTAAGGGTTTAGGGATTGCAGCCTTAAGGGTTTATTTAGGGGTTTCGGGGTTTAGGGGGTTTAGGGGTTTAGGGGGTTAAGGGTGTGGGGGTTTAAGTGTTTAGGGGTTTAGGGGTTTGGGTTTAGGTGTTTAGGGGTTTCGGGGTTTAGGGGTTCAGGATTTCAAGGGTTTAGGGGTCCAAGGGTGTACGGGTTTAAGGGTTTAAGGGTTTAAGGGTTTTCGGGCTTAGGGGTTTAGGGTTGGGGTTCTAGTGCTGCCACCATGTTTTGTTAATTTAAGTGAGGCCGATGTCGCTCCGGCCGACAGGCGTATGGAAAAACTGGTCTCCTTTTCCT